ATGTGGTAAATTATGATTTTAACAAAAGCAGTATAACAATAAATTGTCGAAAAGGACTGCAATATACTAGAACTAGAGTTGGTCAGTAAGCTTTCTTTTCATTGTTGCAGAAAATTAAATTAAATGTATCTTTGTCTTTGTTTTTAAAATGGAACAGTTGTCCGAAAACCGTATTTTGTAACAAACGAAATGAAGATACCGATATCTTTCGATTCCGGTTTGCTTTGTCGGAGACTGTATGTTCCTGGAGGTTTGCATTATTCTCATCTTAATATAACACATTCGCATTCCGATCTTTTATAAATTTACGTTTGTTAGAATTATAAATATAATAGGTACAGTTAGTAACACTATGTGGTTAAATGTTTCGCAGTGACAACATCAATAACTTCATGGAGTATGTGTGATTATAAAGAAACGACTTCTTGCTACTTGCGTGTCTTTCCGCCATCACTATTCCTCCATGCACTTTTATGGAATTACGCGCTCACCCTGATTAAAATTTAGAATCTCGTTGCTAATTTACCATTTCATTTCAATTAAGTTATGTTTTCGGTGACATTTTTCGGATGAACGCGTGAATTGCAACTGGGCGTACATGCCAAATTCTCATCGATATAAATTCGAAATGTGACCATCTCCTAATGTGTTACCTACATTTTAAGAAAAACGTTTTTATACGCACCGTTACTATGGATACTATAAAATCAATGTTACTTACTTAATGAGAAATATTCACAGTTTTAATGATTTGCCGTTTCAGGGAGTGACATTTTTGGTAAATTGTATCTCATTCGAGCGTGTAATAATACATTATGCGTCCAAAGGTACCGAATTGTGTTTTCTAGTACGTGAAGTTCGCGTTAAGACCATCGATGTCGGATTATCTGGTTGTCCGTTGTGATGTGTTGCTATGAATCAGTCCGATTAACTGGAGAGATCTATACAGGGTGTAAGATTGCATTGTACTCCCCCATATTGGTTTATTTCAAGAGGGCTTGTTGGTTGCTATATGATTACATGTTACGGGAAGTTAAGCGGGTTAATCCAGGAAAAGGAGGTTAAGATTCAAATTTTATTTCAAAGAAGATTGAGGACTCAAAATTGTGTTGTTGAGGTATTTATTGCAGCAATGAAGGATCTCTAAATTGTCTATAAAAACGCAGCAATGGCCGGAGTTTAGGATCTGGGTGGGAAAGGGAGATTTTAACATTGGAAATGTTTATGGTATATGGTATCGTATGTTTTTACTGATTTTATGGTAGGATTTTCCTTAGTTTGCGCGCACACAACCAGGCGATGTTAGGGAAACCTTCTTCGGGACAAAAACCCTAGCACAGCCTACACAAATACACGAACTAAATTAACAGGACAACAAAAGCAAAATAAAATCCACAAAACATTTCAAAATGTGTATCACTAAAAATCAGGTCACGAATTTCAAAATACGTCATATTTTTTCGAAAAACATCAACGTGCATCGTTCCAGCTGGTTATTGAACGTCGCAAGGGTGATAAACTTTCGCCTAACTTGTTCGTCGATCTTCCTGTTTTCGTCATGGTAATAATGGAACCTTCAGATCTCTCCACGAATAGCATACGAGTAATAAGTATCATCTTAATCTGAATAATCTTCTGCTGTTTTGGGAGTATCTACAACGCGACTTTTCCAACACTTATAAAATCGATACATGATATTTACAATTATACCTAAACATACTTCTTAATTTAAGTTTTGTTACGAGTGTAGCCAACCTTAATTGTAATGTAACGTTTATTTGAAGTACAGTAGGTTGTGAAAAATGCAAAATTCGTGCCGCATCTTAACACCACAGTACTAAACGTTGCTGTTGTGCATTTACAGCTTATTGATGGCCTTTGACATTTTATTACATGTATTTTACGTGCTTGTGGAGTTCGAATTATTTAGTATCTTTCAATTTACGTACGCTTCACCCTAATTGATCACTTTATTTAATTATGCACGTTTGGAAATCATTTAGCGTATAATATCGAATCCCGTATGTTCAATGAAGTACGTCATTGCAATTTGACATACCTACATCACTTTTAATTTTTAAGTAACGGGATAGATTTGTAGACACGCGCTCGATACTCCGTCGGAATCTATCTAATGTAATACATTTTTCCTAATAAATTCCATCTGTTTAGTTAAGAAAAATCAACGCTCCTTATTAGAATAGTCCTCATATAAGGAAGAATTAAATTTATTAAATTACGCACTCTTGTATACAAAATTAATTCTCTGTCTTGCATTTTCTAACTGACCGCATAGTTATAATAGTTATTTGATTGTAAAGATTTGTTTTCCATTCAGTTAATGGACCATTATGTACAGTAATGGAGATTGCCAACTAAGGACGGATTTACTACGAGTAGCCCTGACCTACCGCTTAACGGTGAAGGTTATTTTCAATCTTTAACATCAATTCGCATATATAGGTATATTAGTAATACATATGCAATAATTCATCCTCATTCCATCTATTATGTAATGCTATGCGATTATGATCACAGATATCTCATCTAGAAAATGAAAGGTTATGTTGATTTGTAAATGGAGATAATGTGAGAAGCTAATCTGAGTGTTGACAACCCAATGAAATCGCGATCCTATAAGGTCATTTGATTACTATTTAGGCCAGTGCAGGTATCTACTCAAAAAAGCATAAAAACTAGTAACAGCATTAGGCTCATTGGAGTGGCAACTTATAAAATTAAACTATCCGAATGGAGGAGGATGCAATGGGGGTGGAAAATGGTTTTTCGTAATTTCTAACTAAACTGAACCTCCTATCAAAGAAAGTCACATGTAAAAGTTGTTTCGTGAAAAATCGGAAAAGCTGGTTTTTTGTTTTTAATTTTTTTTTCGCAAAAATTACTCGTTTTTGTGTCTCAAACAAGTAGTAATTTTGTTGTAAATTCTATTTTGGTTTTTACTTAAAAAGAGGTCCCATCTTCAACCGAAAATGCCAAGAATTGTCCAGAAATCAGTTTTCAGATAGTTTAAAAACGTCATTATATTAATTGAAAAAATCTGAAAACAAGTGATTTGAAAAGTTTTATTGTTTATTAATATTTACAGTTGAAATGCTTGTTTTTATGTTACATTAATAAATGAAGTAATTACAAATGGTTTGAGTATTAATTAATTCATTTTGGATGGTTTCAGCCATAAAAATTATGATAAAGCGCATTTTTTATACCGAAATAGTTGGGTTATAAGATAGTAGCATTTATAGATGTTCATCTTCTTTCTAGATGGAGAGGGGGCATATAAACATTTAAAGGCCGCTTGGCATACATTCAAAGTCTATGCTGTATAATGCAAGAAGAATTCTCCTAAATATTATTTTTCTTTTTGTAGGGACCCTCGTCCAACATTTTCGAGATATTCGCAATCAAGTTTTCACTAGTAGATGTATCTCGTCCAGACGTGCCATTTTCCCTTTATGAGTACCCTCTTCTGACACTTTGTTTTCCACTCGGTTTTCCAGATATTCACTTCGACTTCACCTATAGATATGTCTCGTCCAGACGATTAATTTTGCCGTTGTAAGTGCTCTCCTTCGATAAACCGTTTTCGAGATATTTGTTTTTATAAAGTTTTGACATCACCAATGGATATAGTTCTTCCAGACGTCCTAATCTTTCTTGCTCTTGATATATAAGGAGTCGAGGAGAAGGACTTTTGTTGGTAGAAATTAATTCCTTTCATTACAGTACCATGAAGGATAAACTCAACCCCCCACACCCTATTTTAATACGAGGTAAGAAAGAAGGGCGTAGTCAAAATCAATTTTTTTAATTCTTAAAAAAGTTAAAAAGTTAATGTATTAAATTAATATGATTATAAGATAACATTTCCCACCATCTAATTCTCCAATAAATGTTTACATTACTTGAACCTACCTAGTTATCCTAATTATTTGAATACAATTGAGTTTCGTTTACAAATTTTTGTCAACTTAAGTATTACTTATATGAGCGTGAGCATCTTCCTCTACTTGTGTACAGAAAAATCTTGATCCGCTCTCTGGACCTAATATTGAAAGGGAACATTGTCCACAAAATATAAAGAAAACAGGTAAACAAAAAATATTTCATGTAACAAAATTCTTTTGTAGTTCGTTTGGCGGTAGGCCATCGCTCTTCTTAACCGCACAGTCATTATGTTGCTTGCATTTGGTAATCAATAATAACCACTAATAATAACACCAAAATCTTCATCTATAATCACTGGTTGATTGACTAACAAAAAGTGGTAGTAAGAAAAGCACAAAATTGTAGTTTCTCATTTTATTTTGGGATAATTAAAGGGGTCGACGAAGGAGGAGTTTATTCAGTGCAAAACACGTACCCAATGTGTGAGGTAGTACTACACTCATACCCGCTAGCAATCTACGGGGCCGTTAAACCCCTATAATAACCAGTTCTATTTTTAACCATGACACATTGCCATCGTAACGTTAGTACCATATAGGGTTTATCATATTAATTAAAATCGGATTGGTAGGACGAACATAAATGAAGAAATAATATAAGGTCAATTATAAGATGGCG